GTGGGGCAAAAGTTTTGACTGTTCCCTGGGTCCTAGTATTTATGGCATTAAAATTTGGTAAGTTTGTTTTACAAATGTCATGTTTCTGTTTAAATATTTGCTCATTCAATCAGCCTTATCCATAGCGTGCTACAGGTCCCTCCCCCGTCCAGCTTATCCTGGTGAAGGATTAGGAGCTGCGGTTCTGAAATGGTGCTCTAGAGTACAGTGATTGCCGGTTCACAGAGGAAGATGAGAATAACTGTAAAACTGACTTGGAGTCTTGGAGTGAGCATGATCCTAATGCAGATAAAGTCAATTTCGCTTCTTCCTGTCCGGCAGACTATGGCCCTGCTTTTAAACTTCTAGCCCACTTTACTTTCCGAGTACATACAAGCTTAACGACATGAGAAGTTAGTCATGTTGGTCTTTGGCCGGTTCAGTATCTTACCTTTTTAAAATGTTTAACTTCGCCCTAGTTTACCCTCCAGAATTCAGCCCTCGCAGCTGTTTGCAGCCCAGTTTAGGGGGTGTTGGGTAAGAGGGCTCTGGAAAGAGGGTGGCATTGACTGTCAGATTAATGACAGTTTCCATTTCGGCCCTTAACTTTTGACCTTGGAAGTAGGCATTACTCTCTGTTCCTGTTTCCATCTCAAATAGGAGTATTCTACCTGGACTCTGCTTCCTTAAATGAGACCATTTATGAACAGCTTGAGGGTCTTAAAACCTTGTACCTTCACTGCGTTTGACTTGAGCGGCGGAATGCCTGCTGTATTGATTCCTGGTCAGCCGTGTCCAGGGCACTTCTGTATTTGTGTAATAACCATAAGTTCTAGAACATAACTTCATGTTATCAAAGACTGGAGAGCTGCAAGTTTCACAATGTTTTCCTAACTGCTAACAAATATTACTCCCCACTTTTCTTTAATGGTTAATGTTCAGTGCTATTTTAAGAAAGATATATTTAGGCTTAGCACATAAATATATTTATGATTACTCATTACATTTAATTAATACTTTCAAATCCTGCATTCTTATTTCTAGAACAAACTCTCAGAAGACAAGTGAACATATTTCTTTTAGGGATGAGGAAGAAGCCTGTGATGTACTGTACTTTTTCTCAATTTAAAATAATGGATCACAGGACAGTTTTGCATTAGGGCTCAAGAGTGATAAGAAATACTCTGGAAGAATTGATTTGGCTGTATGATTGGTATAATTTTCTTCTGTCAAGTATTCGCAGTTGTCGAAACGTAGCATGAAAGTTCTTCAAATGTAGAAGAACTTGTTTATAACCAGTAAAAAGAACTTTGCTAAATGATGTTTCTTTTTGGTGAGAACTGGACATATGAAATAAAAATGACATCTAATTAGCTAAGAAATCAAACATTTTGATTATTTTATTATGGAAAATAAGTTCATTTTTACAAGCAAAGAGGCGCTTGGGACAACAAGTGAGATTGCTTTGCTAAGGGGGATGAAATAGCCCACAGCCCCGGGGAAGCTCCGGTGGTCTTGAAATGCTTGCAGAGGGCACGCAGGGGCCCAGGGGCGGGAGAAATCGCCCTTCCCAGCTGACCAGCCCGCTCCTGGGCCCAGCGTCTAGGCCAGGCTGTCCAGGTAAGGCTCAGAACACGTGCCAGTAGGGAGAAGAGGCGCGCTGGGCAGCTGCCTGCAGAGGGCCGGGGGCAGAGCAGCCTCCTCTGTGTGACCGGCCAGGTCCCGGCAGGGGGGAGCCAACCCGCCAAAGCTGGGGGCGGCCGTGGGGGACTGTGGGAGTCGAAGGCTCAAACTGCCAGGTTGCAGGTGCAGAAGAGCGCAGCTGTCCCATCTGCTGTGTCTGTCAGACAGAGGGACGGTGGTCCCGGGACCGGGCCGAGAGCCTGCTGGCCTGGGCATTCGCAAACATAGCCTCTGTTCCCCAGTGGCCCCTTCGCTGTTCAGTGACCTGGGACAGGCCTCCGGCCTCTGCATTTGTTGGCAAAATGTGGACCCCACGCCCAGCTCCTCTATTCTCAGCATTGCCCTGAGAGTCCTCCGGTGCGGCCGGCGTGCACAAGGCCATGCTGTAGAACAGGGGCTCCCGTCCTGTAGCCCGCCAGTTCTCCAGTGGGGAGCCGGGGGCAAGCGAAAACTTGTGCACTATTTCGCCTTGACGCTTGGTGCTTCTGCTAGTGCTGCTTTAATGTGTCTCTAAAAGCTGTGTAACCACTGCCCTGTGTCTGGGGCGCCCTCCCTCCCAGCACCTGATCTCACACCCGTGGGAGGTTTTTATTATAGGACTTCATTCGGAAAACGTGACTTGGGTTATAGAGTTGGTGAAATGCCCTTGTCATGTTACTTTCTACCCCTGAAACCAGAATTGCAGAAGTAGCACCAGTAGCCGTTGGGTAACCACCAAGCCAGAGTTGGTGAATGCTACAGAGCTTTTGAAATTATTAGGGAGTCTCCACGGCGGGGCGATGCTGCCCCGTTTCTGTGCATCTGTGCCGTCCCCCAGCCACGCCACCAGGAAGGCGAGCCCTCAGCCTCCGTCTGCCACCTTGCGCTCTGGGCCTCGCGCAGGCCTGGACTCTGGTGACAGCTGGTGCCAAGCCCCCCCTGCAGCGCAGCACACGCTGCCGTCGCCGGGGAAGACCCCCACATGCGGCCCAGCTAGCTCAGCCTTTTGCTTTTTTAAATTGAAAAGTGCGATGTCCGCTGTTGCCCTGAGCATGCCGCTGTGCCCGCGCGGCCCGGCGGCTCCTCGGCCACGTGGCCGCACGAGAAGGACTCCCGCTCTCGGGGGCTCCCGTCCTCTCCCGGGCTAGGCAAGCTCCGGCTCGCCTCCGCGCCGTCATCGTCCTCGGCCCCGGCCGCTTCGGGTGTTCGGCTCGGCTTTGTCGCGCTGAGGCGCTCCTGTCTGGCCCGCGTGTCCCTCAGTGGGCCTGGCTTCAGGCCGGCCCTTCTGCGCCTGCGGGGGCCCGGGGACAGGGTGAACCCAGAGAAGGCTGTCTTGTGGTGCGGGAGCCCGGCGGGCCAGCGTGGGCCGCTGGGAGCTGGGCTCTGCCCACGGAGTCTTCCTTCCTCGGGTGGGACGTGTGCAGCTCTCCTCGGCCCCACGGCCGTGTAAACCTGTTGACGTGTTGGCAGGAAATGAGTAGCGTAACTGGAGAGCAGCGACCCAGAGACTCGGCGGAGGCAGGTGTGACGGCTGACAGGACCTGGTGTGGCCTCTGCAAGCCGCTGGGCCCTCACCTGCGCCAGAAAGAAGGGGAGGGACAGAGGAGGCAGCCTGGAGAGGCAGAGGCCGCAGAGGGTGAGACAGAGAAGTTAGCAGATGGCCTCAGGCCTCCAGAGGCTGGGGGCACAGGCCGAGGCTGGGGGCACAGGCCGAGGCTGGGGGCACAGGCCGAGGCTGGGGGAGGCTGGGGGCACAGGCCCAGCGTAGAACTGGTGGGGAGGAAGCATGGCCCTGAGCTTGGGTGTGGAGCTGCCGCCCTGGCCATGCCCTGGCCCAGTCTGGGAAGGGGAGAGGGAAGGTGGATGGGCCTCGTGGCGAGGACAGGGAAGTCAGCCGCAGGTTGGTGGCTTCCCTGGAGGCCAGACCCAGCAGAGGGTCTCTAGGTGTGGATGGTTGCGTTAGTGACTCTGGCTCACGTGCTATTAGCAGGGGGTGGAGAGAACACTGACCGGGGTTGGGGGAGGCAGCAGGCAGGAATGGGGGGACTCCAGTTCAGGCGCCGTGCAGGGTTGCGGTGAGTGGTCTTCAGGCTGGTGAGCCAGAGTTCACTGGCGCAGGCAAAAATCTAAGAGCAGATTCTTCTGCTTTCCGTATGTCCTGTCGCTTCTCAGTTTTCTCATGAAGAAAATGATACAATAGGTAGAGCTAGTCAGAACACCCTTTTCTTTCTAACTGGAGACGGGACTGAATACGATGTGGGATGCTCAGTAGTTTGGGCTGTTCTTGGGCAGCTCAAAGGGGCTCTTTTCCGCGTCAGACAGAAGCTCTGCTGCGGGCTGCCGGCAGCCCACGCCGTCACTAGAGTTCCCAGGCAGAAGCTTTGCTCTCTGTGCCCTGGGTCAGACCACGAGCGTGCAGTCTGCCGTCCACTGACACCTGCACTCGACCTGCAGCTCCGCGTGGGCTGAGCCTTCCCGGCATTTGATGGGGGGAAGTTGCCGTCCTCCTGTGTCCATTTCCGGCGGGTCTCATAGTATTGCTGCCTCCACGAGCGGGTGAACCTGGCATGACAGAGTGTGTGTGTGATTTTTTGGCACGCTGTCACCTGGAGATATAAGTGAGCCACTAGACCTGAAGCTGGGAAGGTCGCCGGTGGTGACAGGTGGGGGGTGCCGGGGTGCGGGCTCCGGGGACCAGAGTTACGTGGCGGGAGCAGGTTGGCCTTGGCAGCCGCAGTCCCCACCAGGTGTGCAGGGGCCCAGCACAGAGGCTGTGGCCTCCTCTGGCCTGGGCAGCCCAGATGACTGGGGATGGACAGACCGGGGGGGGGGGGGGGACAAACGGTCAGGTCGGGGGAAGGGGCTTTTCCAGAACTGGCTGACTTCCGCCTTGTGTAGCTCACGATCGTCCTCCCGGTGAGCCAACCCCCAGAAAACCCTCGTGCAGGGTCCCCGCTGCTGAAGGACGCCGTCGACAGAACCCGTGTCGCCCACCCAGGGCGGTGTGGGACCAACGCAAAGCGCTGACCTGGCTCCCTCCCCGCCGGTGTGGAGAGTGCCCATTCACGTCTTCTTGGTGCTTGCTCTCACCCCCCCATCTCTCCACCTCCGGCTCCCAGGTCACCTTGTAGGCGGGACGGGCTCGCAGTTCCTGTGTCACCGCGTAAGGGGCCTGGCCCAGCCCGAGTCCCCCGTGTGCCCCGCTCCGCACGATCTCGGCTGAGACCTGGGCGCACGGTTTCAGAGCCCTGTGGTTTTCTCCCCACGTCAGCGACGTGTGACCTGTGACCCCAGCCGGCCCTGCGTTCCTGATAAACACTGTTGTTTCTGTTTTGTGTCCTTCTCTTTCCTGTAGAGCTCTCGCTGCTGAGGTTCCTTAGCGCTGAACTAACGCGAGGATACTTCCTCGAGCACAATGAGGCCAAGTACACAGAGAGAAGAGAGAGAGTGTACACTTGTATGCGAATCCCCAGGGAATTGGAAAAGGTACTATTTTTTTCTTATTTCCAGACATCAGTTTGAAAGTAATGTCAGCGTGTTCACTGTTACCCTCTCCCCCACCCCCAAGGTGCGCACAGCTTGAGTTGAGTTTTGCCGGACATAATGTGATCATCGGTAATGACGTATACTGGGAAATGGGAACCCCGCATACAGGGAGAGCACTTTACAAACTCTTCAGTGTCCACGCCACTGATTCTCGATGTTGCTTCTCACTAACACACCGGTTCCCTTTGCGTCCCAGCCGTGTGGCTGTTCCTGAGGAATGGATCTCCGCCTCTGCGCTTCCCTGGGTCTCTCCGGGCGCCCCCCACCCCCACCCCCGCAGTCGACATGAGAAGTTAGTGACTTAATTTTAGTCCTTTTTAACGTTTCCATTGCCGGAAAGCCGTCATATTGTGAACAAAAACCGCCGTCTCTTCAAAGACAGAGGGGATCCCGTCAGCTGCGTGGCAGAAGGCAGCCAGCCCGCAGCACCGGCCCCGCGGCCGCCCGCCGGCTCAGGCCCTGGCCGGCAGACGGGCCGGAAGGCTCGTTTCTCCGTGGCGTTACTTGGGCTGTGAGTCTGAGCAAGTCCACATTTCTCGTCAGAAGGAAGGAGTGGGCATAACTCGCCCTCAGCCATATTGGGGCAGGCTGTGCTTTGTAGCAGATAAAGCCTAGGTACTCGGCCCCCTTTCTCAGAGCGCGCCGAGCCGGCCTGCCCCCCGGGACCCTGGCCTGGTCAGGCCTGGCTCAGTGCGCGCTGCTCCTCTTCTTTTGAAATACTTGTTTATCTTGTGGAACTCGAGTCAGCTCTTTATTAGCTAGGCTGAAATCCCGCGCGCACCTTCATCCAGAAGCTGAACGCGGCTCATGCTGTTAACGTGAGCAGCACATTAGCATGGCCCGTGGGGAAGTGCCCGCAGGTGCGGGGGCTCGAGCGTGGGTGGTGCGCTCAGACTGGCTCCAGTATGGAGCTTTTTTATTGTTTTTGTTTATTTTTAAGAGCAGGAGGACGCCAGGGGAGGTGCCAGGTGCCGGCCTCAGGAGAGCGGCCTCTGTGCGTGTGGCTGGGTGACAGCAGGGGCGGCGGTTAGCCTGGCTCCTCACAGCTGTGGCGATTCCCTGACCCTGTCTCTCACAGGAGGGGCTTTGGGCGCTAGGTCCTTTGAGGAAATTTGCGTTAGCCTCTTAGAACGACACTTCAGAGGCTTGTCGTTCAGCATACACAAAGGATGGCCTGTTCTGCCTGGAGAACCGTGTCTTCTTCATGTCCAAGTCAAAGTGAACTCTAGAGGCGTGGAGCCCTCTGTCCGGCAGGACGGCCCAGGGACAGCCAGCCGAGGCCCGGGTCTCAGATGCGCCGGCGCTCTGCTGTGTGAGCTGGCAGCTGGTCACGTTAGCGCTGTTAGTTTTTGGTCATTTCCTTTCTGTTTGCATTTTCTATTCTAGCATGCAGCACTTTGCCCGTTTTCTTTTTCTTTTTTAAAAATAAATGCTATGATATTTTTATGTAACCTTTTCAGGAAGAGAAACTTAGTAATTAAAGAGCAGTTTGCTTCTACAGAGGTTGCAAATACTATAAAACACGAAATGAATGTTTGTATTTAAAGGGAAAAGAAAGGTCACCTCAATATCTCTTACAGAATAACCTTTTAGTACTGTATAAAAAAAAAAAAAAAGCCAGAATTGGAATTGGAATGCCTCTGCTTCCTGTCCCCAGCTTTCACCCCGCGGCACCTTTGCGCTGTGTCGGCAGCAGGTGCTGGGCAGGGGGCCCCCGAGACGTGAGTCTTGCTCCGAACTGGGCCTTCTGACCCTGCAGCCCCGTCCTCCGGCTCTCCCTCTTCCCACCACCGACCACAGCCAGAAAGGGCCCCCGGGGTCCTGCTTTCTTCCCTGTGCCGCCAGCCTGGCTGCCTTCTGCATGAACACCCTGAGGAGTTAGCTGGTGGCCGTAGAGATCAGCGCCTCACACCTGGGTATTTCTGGCAGCCCTCCGAGCCTGACCGGGCGCAGAGCCCTGAGCTAGCACAGAGGCCTCGCTGGAGGGCCCCTTCCAGGTGCGCAGCGAGGCCAGGGAGGAGCCGGCAGGTGAGCGTGCGCTCTGCCCCACGTGGCTTCTCCTCCTCTCCGCCAGGTACCTCCCACCTCAGCTTCTGTCTCTGTGTTGATAATAAAGCAAGTATCATTTATCACGTAAAGGTTAGGCGCTAGACTTTGGCCTGGGCGCTTTCACAGAGAGTCAGCCTGGCTCCTCGGCGCTGCAGGCGAGTGTGGGCAGCTCCACCTCCCCTCGGCCCCACCGGCCCGGAGGCCACGACGACGGGCGCCTGCCCGCGGCCCGTGCAGGGCAGCGCACAGTGTGCACCAGGGACAGGTGTCCTTCAGAGTCCGCGGCTTATTGGTGCACAACTCGGGGACTGGTGAACAGCTGCTGACCTAGACTTTCCTGACATGTTTAAATGCTACTTCAGGGCAGTACGAGTTACCGTCCACATACACGCTAGTTTTCTCCGTCTTTGAGGACTTTCTCTGCTCCTGGCACTTCCACGGTGTGGAAGCACAGCGACCCGCATCACACTCGGCTGTCAGCCGAGCTGGGCACATGAAACACATTAAATAAATACAGGTGACAGAGCGATGTCGTTAAGCCAGTATGCGCAAGGAGCTGCTACGGTGTCAGCGGAGGAGACGCTTCCTACAGGCGGCGCGGCGAGGGCGTGGCTGGCGGCGGGACGGGAGGCCGGGGTGTGCTGCGCCCCTTCGGGTGTCTGGCCCGGGTGCTGGGGCCTGCCGGGTGCGCTCAGCTCAGTGCAAGGGGGGACACGCTGCCGGACGGAGGGGCTGGCCCAGGTCCCGAGGGCTGCCGCGCCCAGGCTGAGACCGGGGCTGGGAGGAAGCCACGCAGGGGGTGCTGTTGGCGTCAGCAGCAGGGGCCGACCGGGTGGCCCGCAGGTCTGGCGTCTTCATTTGTGTGGTCTGGACATGGCTAGGGAAGGAGCGCTCCACGCCCAGCAGTTGGGGGGCCAGGTGGGTGCTGGCGTCTGCCCTCTCCCCCAGGTTGGCTTCTGGCCTTTGTGTTTGATGCCGCTAACGGAAGGATGACAGCTGCACCCAGGCAAGCACCTGCATCACGATCAAAAGACGAGGGCGGGCAGGGCCCCTGCCCAGCAGTGCCCTCATCAGAAGCAGCTGTCGCGGCCGTGCCCAGCAGGCTCCCTTCTGCCGCTGTCTGCTGGCCAGGCGGGTCGCACAGCCGTGCCCAGCAAGGGAGCTTCCCCCGCTCGGGGAGACACTCGAGTGGTGGTGGAGCGAGCCGCCCCCACAGCTCAGATCAGCACAGCGGAGTCCGCTGTGGATCAGAAGTGAGAAGCAGGGTCGCGGGGTCTTTCCGGCGCGTAGTCTTTGTACCCATCACAGCTTCAAGCTTCAGGCGACTTGCGGGTCTCCTGCACTCTGTCCTTGCGGTGAATACGTGTCGGATGTGAGTCATGGTGGTCATGAAGCCTTTGATCAGAATTCTCTCTCACTCCAGCTGCCTGTTGAAAACGTGGAACTGCAGTGAAAATGTGCTTGTGTTGTACTGTGTGAAATGTGCTTGTGGGCAGCCCTTCGTTATTGTCATACCTTATGCAGTTATTTAAGTCGTTTTTTTTTTAATTGAATTCAACTGCTTGCTCATAAGTGGAGCTACTGAGTTCAGTTGTCTTAAGAATCTCACCAGTGGCTGGCAGCTTTAGGTCTGTCATGTTGACGCGTGGTGTAAGCATTGCTGAGGTGTGGAAGGTGGTGTTTCTAGGGCTCTTTGAAGGGGAGAAAGACCACTGTCTCGGGGGAAATATTTAGGGTGAGGATTCAGCCTCGCCTTCTCGGCTCAGGTCTGCAAGTGACAGCCAGTGGCCAGGTCGAGACATGGCCTCCCTAGAAGGCTGGACCAGGTTATCTAGAGAGAGCCGACAGCGTGTGACCCTGTGAATGAGTTTGCCTACAGCGAGAGAGGCTTGGGGCGAACAGAAAGGTCCACAGAAAGTTTATTTTACATATCTTGTGGGTGAGGAGGTAACATTTAGAAATAATTCAGCGTTCCTTCCAGAATAATGCACTTCATCAGAATGTCATGTAAAGCTTCTTGTTGGTTCTCAGGGTGGGGTAAGGGTTAAGAAAAGAGGGCCAGACTCTGTTGCTGACCTTTGTTTCATCAAACCAGCCCTGGGGTCTCACCATGGGCAGCAGGCGGTCACGCGGGCCCACGACACGGCCCATTCCCTGGCCTCTCGCTCCCATTCTCATTTCATGAGAACATGCTTGGGGGCTCAGCCCTCAAGTTCTCCCACAATGTAGCTCCTGTCTGTGACACCCTGACTCAGAAGTCACACTGGGCAGCCGCGAGCAAGCAGGAAACGGGGAGAGCTGCTGGTTCCAGCGCCTAGCCGCCCGCTCGGCTGGCCCCCTCGCTCCCACACCCTCTCTGCGCCATCCTCGCTCAGACACCAGCCCCCGGGCCGCGTGGAGCACGCCGGCAGCACACTGGCGTGATGGGGAGCGACGCCGGGGCCGAGGGCCTCGGGGCCCAGTGTGAGCTCTGCTCCCGTGGGCATTAGGACCCGCCTGTCCAGGGCAGCTGGCCAGAGACCCAGGCCTGTGGCCCGCTCGCTGGCGGATTTCAAAGCTCCTGCCCTGGTGCCGGAGTGCTGTCCCTTGGAGAGGCGACCTGCCCGCATGTGGACTTTGGGGAGCAGCCGTAGCCTCTCTCTGCTCTCGCCCGTCAGGCTTAGTGTCCCCCCGTCTTCTCTGCTCGCGCTCAGCCTACTCTGTGCTGCTGGTCACACCCCAAAACACAGATTTGAACCTTACGGGCGTCTGACAGCGGCCCTGCAGCGGCTGCCCCCCGGCCTCCCCGCGACCTCTGCTCCCCCACGCCACTCACAGGCGCGGTGGCCCTGGGGAGGCCGCCGGCCTCGGGCACCAGTCCCACCACCCAGCCGCGCTTCCCGCCCCACGTGTGCCTTCAGCACCCCAAGTTGCGGTGTCTGTCTGAGGGGCTGTTGTGAGGGTTGGTTATACAGGCATCAGGTGCTGTCAGTATAACAACCCCAACTTGGAAAAGAAAGAGAAGCAACACAGTCTCCAGAGCTACCATGTTCCTGGTCTTCCTCACATGAAAATCTTTCCCCAAGTGACTGATGTGAGATGTGTCTGTCTCGGTAAATCATGCAGGTTATGATTATGACCCAGCCTTTATCAGGCGTCCGATCTCCTCAGTGCACCGGTGACGGGTGTCACCTGGCCTGTCTGAGGATGGCCAGGCTCCCGGGGAGGCATCTGTCCCTCTCTTCTAGGAGGCAGGCCTCCTGGGCACATTTGAGTCCACGTGAATAAAATATGACTATTACAGGAACGAATGAGAGTCTGTCGTAATTGCTTTCAAAATCAGTTTGTAAACTTTCTTAGTAATAACAACTCACCTGCTAACAGCTGATCTCTGCAGGTAGGTTTATTGGGACCTTCCAGGACTCTGGAGAACGTAGTGGTGACTGAGGACAGCGTCTGACCCTCCACTGTGATGATGTTACTCGCCACACAGCCTGCCCTGCCCTGCCCTGGAGTCCGCCTGCCCTGGGCTGCCCTGGAGTCCGCCTGCCCTGCCCTGCCCTGCCGTCCGCCTGCCCTGGCCTGGAGTCCGCCTGCCCTGCCCTGCCCTGCAGTCCGCCTGCCCTGGCCTGCCCTGGAGTCTGCCCGCCCTGGGGTGGCAGGACCTGCTGCCCACCTTGTCCCCTCTGCAGGGAGCTTTGCTGATCCGCTCCTGTCTCCACCGCGTCTGCTCCCTCCTCTCACTGCACGCTTAGTCACTCCACAGACCTGCTCTCCTCACCCGTGCCTGGGGCATGTCTTTCAACCAGGACTTGGCCTGTGTGCCACTTGCGAGCCGTGAATTCCCCAGGAAAGGTCCCTTTCCTGTCCCCACCAGTGTCGAATTGGGCGTGACGGCCTACATGCTTACCAGAGCAGACCCGAGCTTCAGAGCAGCGACCCGGGAAGGAAGAGGAAGCCCTCCCTGCCCTTGACGGGGCTCCCAGTGGGCACAGCAGTCTGGCCGCCTTCCCCTAGGGGGCGCCCTGGCTCTGCGGGCCCGGGGTGCCCCGTGGCCGAGTCACCGGCCAGCCCAGCGCATGCGAGCTTGCCTCTTAGCCACAGAGGCTGTTACGACTGCGAAATTTCAAATGGCATTAAAAGGAAGGCAGGCTAGTTTTGTTAAAAAAGGGAAACTGATATTTAAAAGGTAGAAACCTTGTTCCACTCTCCAGGAAGAGGCTGGTGTTCTGTTATTTTGAGACTAGTATTTTTCAAGTAATTGAGAGACACAGTAGCAGGCTGGGTGCATAGGTGAGAGCCGGTCACAGCACCCTCACGGGCCGTGACGTTCAGATGCCCCATGGGGTCCCCGAGTCGCTGCCACTGCAGTTGTCTTTTGAAGTTCAGATGGTAGAAACTGCTACCAAACAGTGCTTTTGCTGTTTTAATCTAGATTGCCAAATCCAGTGGCCAGGTTGAAGGTAGATAGTGAGTGACCGGTGTCAATACTCAGAATGACGCTTCTTGGCTCTACACGCCGACTGAAGCCCCCTACTGCCCCCGGGACCTGGGCCAGCTGCTCGTCTGGGGCTGAGTGGGGGTGCGGGCTCTGCTGCTCCCCCTTCAGAGGGCAGGGGAGGGCGGCCTGGGTGTCTGCACAGCACACACCCCACCTCGCCAGGGCCGGAGCCCACTACCCCGAGGAGCTCTCGCCCCGAGGACCGTCGGCCAGCAGAGAGACGCGGCCATCTGCCCTCGGTTTCTATCTCTGACGTTTCTTATATTATAAAGCATTCAGGAGCCCCCTCAGCAGGAGACTTTTGAGATAATTGTTTTTTTAATAATATAGTCCCTTTATTTTTACATCATTTTTGTGCCTTTTTCCATCTCAGCTGCAATCCCCGTGGGCTTCCCATCACCAGATCACCCGTGTGCCATCACCATAGTCCAGTGCATTTCCCTCCCCCCACTATTTTTGACCCCATTTCCCACTCCACCCCCATACAATGTCTCTGGTCTATAGCTGAGATAATTGTGTAAGTGTTTAAAAGCTCTGCTCTGACAGTAGATTTTGAATTGGCGGTCTGCCACTCGGCATCCTGCGTGGCCCATGGCTGCCACCACCTCCCCTCTCCCCCCCCCCGCCCCCCAGTGTGCAGGGCGCTGCGTCCTCTCCTGGCCGGCCAAGCACGATGCAGTGAAGCCAGCATTGTGGTAAGGGAGACGTGGACAGCAGCAACTTGTATTGCATGGGGTAAAGGTTACTTCGTGACACTTCTGTGGGTTTTGGGTGTGGATGTGAGCATGAATCGCAAGGCAAAGTGTGCTGGGGGCGGCGGCGATCAGAGATGGAATCTTCCCTGGACTCCAAGCTGCTGCGCAGGACTGGCCTTAATGGCAAACAGTTGCCCTGTCACAGTCTCTGCCCCACTGGGGCTGTACAAGAAAGACGTGATTAAAAGAACGATGGGGATCAAACCAAAGGATGTGTCTACCCCGGAAAGTTTTCTCTTTTATTTGAATTAGGGCAAGTCACTTAAGCTCTGGGAAGTCACCCGCAGATCTGCGGCAGCATTTGTCTGCTGGAAGAGGGTGCTGCTGGTCGGGAGGCCCAGGCGGCTGCTGTCCCGTGGGTCCTCCCCATACTTTGGTTTCTGATTTTGCTGCTGTCAAAGAGATGACGCCACCCGGGGGGCCCTGCCCCAGGAAGGCAGCGTCACCCAGCGCCGAAGGAGCCTCAGGGCGAGGAGAGGAGCAGGCAAGGGAGGAGCGTGAGCGGGACACAGGGTGGAGCCGGCAGGGGAGCGCGGGGCTTCGCGGTGACTTCAGGAAGCCTCTGCCTGTCATGTCTGACGAAAGAAATTCTGTCTTGGGAATTTCAAGGGGCGCCGACAGGGTGTGTCACTTTCAGGGAGCTCTTCGGAGATGCCGGGCGGCTTGAGTGCCTCATGGGTATCGTGCTCAGTAAAAGCACGTAGGAACTGCCTAGCTTCCAAAGCTGCCGTCCGGACTCACGGAAGGCATGGCCGTGCGCGTCACTCTCGTTAAGGATGTGACCTCAAGGCTTTGACTTCTTAGCATATTTCCAGAGCCAGCAGTAATCTAAACGGGTGAACTTTTTTATGCCGTTTGTGAGTTGATTCACTGACTACCAGTTAGTTCTGCGTGTGTTGGCGGGGCAGGTCCGTAAGGCAGGTGAGCAGACCCGAAGTTGCCTGGGCGGTGAGGCCTGCTCTCTGCCCAGCCCGCACGGGGCGCCCTCCGCGGCGGCGAGCAGGGGGACACTCGCTCCCTCCCAGAGCTGCCGGGCGCCTTAGGTCACCAGCACGACCAGCTCCCAGCCTGCTGGTCTGCCCCCCATCCTGGGTGAGGATCACCTCCTTCGCTTGTTAGGAAATTGTCTTTCTCATTTTCATCTGTGAAGAAGTTGAGAGATGGTGTCACATCACAGTGCTCCCCCCCATTTCTGAGCCCTGAAGGTGTTCTGTGTGGCGTGTTCTCACAGACGTGAGCACTTTCTCCCCTCGCGGCTAAGGTCCTTTCCGCCACCAGACCGAGATCTGTCGCGGCAGCCACTGCTGGCCCTGTCGCCGGGCAATGTCTGGGCCCTCCAGCTGGTGTCAGGCACAGAAGCTCCTTCTCAAGCCGCCCGGGGGGCGGGGATGCACACGCCCAGGGCCCCACCCGCCCTCTGTGAAGTTAGTCCTAAACTTTTAATGTGTAAGATGTATATTACCCAAAAAAGGGTGGTGCGGCCCGTACATACAGAGAGGGGCGCTCCACACTGCTGCCAGGTCCCGTTACGCCTGATGCCTTCCGCGGACAAGTTCAGGTCCAGATGAAATTGTGTTAGAACGAGTAACCACTTCGCATGCTTTTCCCGTAAGCCGTATTTAAGTCAGTCTGCCCTTTTTGCCCATCCACGAAGCGTTCCGATGACTAGGTAACACACTGCTGCGAAGGAAGCTAGTCAAAACGTTTGACCCGGACAGTGTCCTGTCACATCGGTCACGTGCGTGCACGTCCCGGGCAGCACATCTGGCCTCCTGGTACTGTCCAGGGCAGCTCGGCCTGAGTGACTGGCTTCCGTCTGTGGCCGGCCAGAGCGGCTGGGAGAAGTACCGACCTGACCTCCGAAAAAGGACTTCCAGTAAATGATGGCATCGTCCCCGAGAAGAGCTACCGACGCTATCCCCACAGAAATGAACTTCCCACCTTCCTCGACCGTTTGAAACTTCCACCTACAGTTACAGACCCAATATTCATTTTGCATTTTGCTTTGTTTTCTTCTCTCCTGTTAACATCCAGCTCATGATTTTTGGCATCTTTCTGTGCCTGGACGCATTTCTGTACGTGTTCACGCTGCTCCCCCTCAGAGTCTTCCTGGCCCTGTTCAGGCTCCTCACACTGCCCTGCTACGGCTTCAGGTAAGTTCAAGGGCACGGGCCTCCCTGGCATTTAGGCTGCATTTACCACTCAGCATTGTCGGGCTAAGTAATCGCGTGGGTAGAGTTTGCAGAACAGGTGTAACTCAGTTTCATTCACACCAGGCCCTTAATGCCTAAATTAGCCCACTTGTCTTTCTAATGTTAATATGTCCATTTCCCTGAAGGTTGAGTGTTTCTCAGAATTTTGCATAAGCCAAATGGCGTAAAATAAAGGTGCAGTTACCATTAACTTTTTTTTTTGGAAAAATTTTTGCATATTCCCAGACCTCAAAAATTACCTAACAAATCATAGCAAATAATGTGCAAAATCTCAAGTAACCTTAACATGGTGGGAATGGGAACGAGGTGGAGAAAACACACCCTCTTGCCGGAGGGAACTGCCTCGAGAACCGCTCAAAACAGGCATGGCACTACTCTCACTTTTTGTCGGTCAAGTGAAACTCCTCTTGGAATTTCTTTACAGTTAACAAAAACAGGCACTAAACTAATGTTAGTTTTTGTAAAAAGTGGTGTGGTGGGAGACAGGCTTTCACGAAGCAGATGTTGGTATGAAAAGTTGATGGAATGCTCATGTTTTTTATACCCTGCCCAAATGGCTTGGAACCAGCGCTCTGCTCTGGTCAGCCAAATAACGTGATGACTGCAGGAGAGGCGTGGGAAAGGCAAGAACAGGGTCAGAGCCCGCGCCGCTGCCATGCTCACCGTCCCGTGCCTCTATTTCGCCAGTACCTGACTTCCCGCATTGTAAAGCGCAAGTGGTGGTGTCAGGAGCTCCTCAGTGCCCTCGCTGCGGGGCTCCTCCGTCACAGGTGGCCTGGCCCCCCAGTGGCGTTGACACTGACAGCACCCCCTTTGACTTGAGGGGCAGCAATCTCCTGACCGCCGCAGGACACGGAAGCCAATACAAGTTCCCTTCCCTTCCTTCTCCGCCAATACTGGGGACTTCGTGGTAGATGGGAAACGATACGCTTACCTGGATTTTCACGGTTTATTGGCCTCGAGGTCCAAGTTGGCATGGTCCTGCTTTTTCTCGGCCCAGTGTCAGCCTATCTCTGCTCAGTGTGGCAACGTCTGCTGGTGACTGTGTGGTCGTTGCTGCCCGAGTCACCTTTCTGACCTTTATTTCTGTCTAAAAACATTTCATTCCCAGAAAGTTTTAAATGCTGAAATGGATGGTATGTAGTCACACTTATTTAACTAAAAGTCGGACTGTCCCATAGCACGTAAAATACACCAAGTAATGTTTGTCAGTAGCTTAACCATGGAAACTGAATTAGAAACTTACGATGGTGAATACACAGGACTATATGTTGATTTTTTTAAAGCTCTGAGGAGTCTTTTTAGAGTCGTAAATGGGTATACAATTCCTATTGGGCGAGCACCAAATAGCCCTCAGTTCCCTCAAAAGCAAGCCTTAATTGGTTTTCATAAGGAAGACATTCTTCTTGTGAAAGTTGGAAGAGTATATTGATTGTGGTGATCATATGGTAAAAGGTCTGAAGTGAGACACTACGGAGGTTGCTTGGCGTGAGGCCGCCACCGGCGCTGAAGTCCCACCGCTGCGAGTGACACTGCCTCGGTCGCGTGGCCCCTCAGGCCGTGTGCTCGTTTTACGACTCCGTGCCAATCCAGTGGGTGATTCTTTCAGGCATTTAATCCTCTGCTTTAAAATACCTGTGCATCCTTTATCCTTTGGGAGAGCCTCTGAGAAGTCTTGATTCTTACTAGCAAACCTCTTCCAGGACACCCTGCACCTTCCAGGGTCATGGATGTGACACAGCCTGTGCCGGTGCTTCTCTGTCCCACTGGCAGCTCCATAACATCACAGTTACTTCAGACAGGGACTGGCCTACCTGCGCCGAGGGCTGGTGGTGGCCGGTCCGCCCCAGTCAGCAGCGCGAGGCACCGTCGTGTTCTCGCCACCCTTCCGCGGGGCTTTCCCAGACACCTGTTCTGTCTGGCACCGAGAAGTGAAGCACCTTCCTTCCTCCTCGGGGGGAACCCCCATATGTCAGCAGCCAGTCAGCGCCTGGTGAGGGCCTCCTGAGGCTTGAGTTAGCCCATCTTGCTGTTCAGACGCCCAGGGCCTTGTCACGTGGGGAAGCAGGGCATGGAGGAGTGGCGGACAGCTCTTGTGTTCTGAGTTCAGACAGGGCAGCAGGCCTGTTCCCGCCGCCACCCCCCAAATTAACCTCTAGTGGGTCCTTATTTTTCAAGCTTTATACTGTAAAGTGACACCAGAGGGCAGTCTCTAACTGCTCGTGAGATGCCTTAGGTTTCCTGTGCCGCGCTTGCTGGTTCTGCAACGTGATTCAGATGGGAAATCGCGCCACGCCGTAACTCATTACCAGGATGAAATGCAGTTGGAATTCTCTGTCAGAACTTCAGTACTCTTACATACTCTGTGTGAGTGGAGGCCTGGTCATTTAGATATATATATAGCACAGGACAGCACTGTCTCAGTCCTTAAGTGTGCGTGCTCAGCATTGACGAAATTCGGGCTGCTGTATGTGTGCATACGTGTATTATATGTATATACAGAGAGCGCACACGTGCAGTCTGGAAAAGTGTTTTTTGAGCATCATTTTTTTTTTTTTAAAGATTTATTTATTTGTGCAGACAGAACTGGGGTACAGGCCAGAGGCTCAGGGGCGGTGAGAGGCTTCACCAGAGACAGAGTGGGGAACAGAACAGGCAGATCTACGAAGTACACTGC